AGTCGGGTGATTGCTTTTAGATATTAAGGCTGCGGCTGATGAGCTCAATGAAACTAAGCTTTTCGTTAGAGCTTGAGGAATCTAATAAGATTAGGCATTAAGTGAAGGGAGAGAGAGAGAGAGAGAGCATTTTATTATAATTCCCAAATGATATGTAGCAAACAATATACAGATATATGGTAACAGTGTATACGTATTTCAGGCGGAAATTTAATTACACATGGATTTAGAGGGATAATTAAATATTTGATGGAGCATGCTGAGAGCAGGTTGGGTTGGGGCCTATGTTGAGCTGTTAGGATAATGTTTTGTCATATAAAATGGTTTTTAATATTATGATAATTAAGTGTGAAGAAGAGACGTAATCTAATGCGAGATTAAAGACTAAGGATTAAGTTTAATCAACTCAATAGTTAAATATTATATATTATTATATTAAGCTGAGCTATAATTGAATATCAGCTGAAGGCACTTAGTTTACATAAAATTGAAGATGTATTTCAATAAAATCATGTCATTATAATTCATTAAGCGAGCATTCAACTCAGCGGCCTAAATGAAATATGGCTCTGTGTTTTGCTGATTGATTAAATTGATTTATGCATATTTTTAATCTCAATTATTAAAATAACATGAAATGCTCATTGATATGGCTTGAATGATTGATGATTATTGCTTTATTATTATTTGATTGATGTCTTGTCTCATTCCCCATAAAAACCTTTAAGTACTCAACAAATTCTTTACAAATTTCCCTAATTGAAAATCTGAAACTCACATTGACTTCGTGCCTAATTCCCTTTGCAAACTTCGTACACCCAACAGCTCATTTAGAGAACTTTGTTGTTGGGTTTGTTTATGTGAATAACGATTAAAAAGAAAATTTAAGTAACTTTTACAAATCGCTTCGGTTCCTTGCCCTGAACCTCCCGCCGCCTTCATTGCTGAGTATATACAAATTTTGATTAAATCTTTTTCAATAGGCAACTTTTTTGGTGAAACTTCCTCTTAATTTCCGTTTCTTTATAACTTTTGTCAACGCTTTTCAGTTTGTTTTCATTATACACTTGGCCAATAATTCATTTTATAATGCCCAACAGCTTTGCCGATTGTTATAAATGATTGTTCTCAAGAACTTTTCAATTTGGCTACGCTGAGCGATGGCGTTGCTGATGTTTCTGCTGCTGATGCTCAAATTTATCGCCCATTGGCAATCAATAAGCCGCAGTAAAACTAATTTTGTCGTGTCTTGAACTAATTAAACTCACACAGTTACACAAATCTCTCGCTCCTACTGTCTCGCTCTCTCTCTCTCTCAACTTTCTCTCGTTCTTTCGTTCTATCGGAAAACCCTTTCTTGGCAGCATGAGCTAATTGCTAGCCCTTTACAGCTTGACTTTCCGTTTGGGCTGCTTGCGTGCCAGAAGAAAAAACACACTTAAAGTTGTAGTCAAACATAGTCGACGTTGGGATATCCTTTAATTGAAGAATACTATGAAAATGGAGCAAATTTATTGTTGTTTAAAGTGCTAATAATATTTGATGATAAATATTTTGTTTAAATGCAGTTGCCTCAGATCAATACACTACAGGGTATATATATGTAAAGACAATCGATACAATCTGGAAGGAATTTTCTGTGACTTATGATACTAAGACAAAATAGATTTTATTTTATTTATAACCATAAAATAAAATCTATTTTGTCTTGAGCATATATTAATGTAGATTACTTAAAAGCCCCTATGCACAATATACACCCGCTCTCAAAAACCATTACAGGGCATAGTTTGAGCCAAGAAATGCACTACTTACACACGAGGAGCTTGAAGACTCATGCTCTCGTTTCCGCTGGGCGTGTGTTGAGTAATTTTCAACTGCTTAGCAGCGGAAATGGGTAATTTCCGTAGCTGTTGCCACAAAACAAAAAAGAAAGAAAAAAAACAAAACAACAACACTATCAAAAGAGACGAAAGTAATACACTCACACATACACACACACACACATAAGAGCTTAGCCAGTTTTGACTTTTTGATTGGCTTTTTGTTGCAGTCGAAACAAAAAAAAAAAAAAGTAATAATGAGGAAGTGGCTGTCAGATTGGAGACTTGTTAAGCATTTGGCCTAATGGTGAGACTGAATCACTAGAAAATGCCCTGGCTTAAATAGTAGAGCCCCCTATAACTCAGGCTGTACATTTGCTTAAGCTGTGTATTTAATGAACTCTAATGACAGAACATATTTTATTTATTATACAAACTTAAATTTATATATTATATTATTTATATTATATGCTGCGTTCCCCTTTAGCCATGTCAAATTTTTGGTAATTAATTCTTGGACTTTTGCTGAGCAATGCGAATTACGAAAAGCCAAAGAAAATCAAATGCTATGAAAATACGCAATCGGCCAAAAATAGAAACAAGCAAATAAGAGACGATGAAAATGTGTCGAAAATTTGCAATGCGCAGAAAGCATTTGACACTGAGATTTGGCCAAAACTGGTTTCGACCTGTTGCAAGAGAAGATTTTTCTGGCTGAAAGTCTCTCAATTAGCTTTAAATTGAAGCATTTTCTTTAGTGTGGCCAGGTGAAAGGTAAATAAAATCAATTGCCTGACCGCAAAGCGGGCAAATTAATTTTAACTCAATAGCCAAGTAAATAAAGCGATAAACAAATTCACACACACACACACACACAGGCAGGCAGGCAGGCAGACACAGTGAAACGAAAAGAGAGTAAATAAAAATATATACAGGCAATTGTATACCCTGCAATTGGTCAAACACTGCTCATTCCAGCCAGGCAGCAACAAGAAATACAACAACATAACTGTTATTAATCAAGTGCGGACAACGGCAGCAACAGCAGCACCAGCACCATCAACACCAATACCACCGCCACACATTCAATAGCACCACACAGGATTCCATTCATATTCACCATTACAACGACAACAGCAACAACAACTACAGCAACAATATGAATTTAATGTTTCGCAAGAATTTTCGCGAGGGCGCCAGCAAATCTGGCGGCGGCGGCGGCAAACTTCAATCGAAGGCGAATCGTACGAAACGTTCGCGGGATATGGGCATGGTGCAGCAGCCGGAGGAGATACACTATCGCACGCATCTCTTCTTCTCGCCCAATCGGCCCGGCTATGATGTGGGCGAAGGTAAATTGTCGCCAAAGCAATTGAGCAAAGCAACATGACAGCCAATGCACACACAAACACACACACTCTCTCTCTCTCTCTCTTTTTATATCTATTTCTCTCTCTATATTTCTTATTTATACTCTTTGCCTCTTTCTCTCGCTCTCTCTTGTGTTCTCAGCTCAATTGTTTGCGCACCATTAACCCATTAACGCCCTACTTCATTTACTTCTACATTTTAACCCATTTCCATTTCCATTTCCATTCGCTTTCGCATTCGCATTCAAATGTTTTCATCAATTTTACAAATGGCTGGCAACGAGGACTCTTGCAAGTTGGCAATTGTTATGCAGGCTCAATTAAGCACAAATAGGCGACAATCATTGAGTATATACAATTAGGGCGCAGCATCTGCGGCGTATACGTAATATGTGTGCATAACACGCATACGCAGCGTATCGCATAGCAACCGTTAAGTGGGGAGGTTTGTATGTTCTTTTATTTTTGTTTTGGCTACGAGATTGTGTGTTAGGGTTCTTAATAGGTGTTTTAGTTTTAGTGGGTGAATATTGTATTAATAAAATTAAATGTTTTCAATTCACTTAAGATTAAGGTTATATGAAAGATGTCTTAAAAAGTTTACCTACTCAATGCATATAGAAATTTGCTTGGTACAGTTTTTAAATTGTATTTATAATATATAAAAGCTATAAATAGTTTGAGCATTACATTGAAAACTATATTTAATAGATGTTTGCAGAACAATGTTGATTCATAGCCTACGTATTATGATTTAATGTTTCTATGTAAATTATATATTTAATATATTTTTGGTCTATATGAGAAAGCATTTATTTGAGTAGAAATATAGGAAATATGAACCTATATTAAATACAATGATTTATCATAGATACATGTATATCTATATGAAATCTATTTAGATTCTAGTTCGACTTGTGCATTTATATCTTTGCTTTAGCATCTCTTCTAATAACATGTCACGTCTCTAATCTATCAGCTTATCAGAAATCGCAATCTAAACCAATTTGCTGTACAACACTTTGCAGGCTTATTGAGGCACGCATGCAAGAAAGGCTTGCCAATGATAATAATATATACTACATTATAGATATGTATATCATAATATTTATATATAAATCGATACATATATACATATATACATATTGTAGTATTTGAATTTGGTAAAAATTAAAGCTCAAGCGTTATCAAAATGCTCAACTATTTTGCTTATCTACGAATTTCCAGTTGGCTTGGCTTTTAGGGCACAAGACGTATGTAAGCTGCGATTCTATATAGTATATTTATTTAGTTTTTGGCAATGGTAATGGCCTTGAATGTGCATTATTGTAAAATAAAAGAAAAGAGCAAAATTTAGACGAAGGTCAAGCGAATGGAACTTGTGTTTAGCGTATGTATATGCGACATCTCTCTCTATATATATATATATATATATCCAGCTAACAGTTAATTGTAGTACTGCAATGCCTACTAATACTCTACGAAAGAAAAGCTGATGAATATGTCTAGTTTTGTGTAAATAAATAAATGTACATACATTCTATAGATATATGTGCCTAACTGCAACAACAGAAAACTGAAAAATATAAAAAAAATAAAACTTTCACCCAACACAAAACAAAAAAACTCTATCCACTCTTTCCTCTGCCCACCAACCCAATCCAAATGCAATCCGAATCCAATCCAGATTCAATTTTATAAATTCACTCTTTCTCCCTCTCTCTCTCTCTCTCTCAATTATGATTTGTTTGTTTGATTTTTTTCTCGTTTGTTTTTGTGTTGTGTGTCCAATATAAAATATCGACAGAATCCATTGCAGAACGATGTAGCGCACTATCGGGCATACCCAGTACCCCGACCACGTCCACGTCCTTTACACAGCCAAACAATCCCTATGAGGTGGACCTACCGCAGCCGCTGGTCGATAGATCCGTGTCGCTGATGCGTTGGAACAGCAGCGGCAACAGCGCCGGCACAAATAACAGTCTCATCCGTTTGCAGCAACAGTTGCAACCGCAGCAACAGCAGCAGCAGCAGCAACAGCAACAGCAGCAACAGCAGCAGCAGCAACAGTTACAGCAGCAACAGCAACAGCTACAGCAGCATCAACTCCTACCGACCTACTCGTATCAGCCACATCAACTGCCACAGACTCTCAGTGCGACGAGTACTTATTTAACGGCTGCCGCTGCGGCGACGCGGCAAGGTTTGAGCCCCACAACTTGTCAACTTGTTGTTGTTGTTGCTGCCACACAAAATATAAGAAAACGAATACAGTGAAATCTTCTATGAGCGAACAAGCGGCTTCGATGTAATTTATATGATGTTGATGTTGATGTATTCAAGATCCTTCATTGTCTCACAGAAGCGGACAATCTGTAATATGACTCTAGAACAATCAAAAAAAAACTTTTCAGAAAAGTTGTAGAAAGTAGTTCTTCTGTAGAAAGTATAGTATATTCATTTCAAGTACATTAATTCAAGATCTATCAACAATCCTTATCAATTCTAAAACTTCAAGTATTTCCTTTACATTAATAATTAGTTCAAACGTAATCTTCATGAAAGGCTTTCTACGATGGAAGATATGTAATGGAATTTCTATAATAGTACTTCAATAACTCCTATACCAGAGTAGGGATTTTTAGAAGTCTTTTGTTTCGTTATTGGAGATTTCACTGTATAACTAAGTACACTGCAAGAAATATCGAACTAATCTCAAATCTAAATGCTCACAACCAGCATCTGTTGTGCACTGATTCCCTAAACACACACACACACACACCTACTCGAGCACGCACACAGACACACTCAAACAAAAAATTAATACAGTTCTACTCGAATCCTAACTTCAAAGAGATAAGGGACTCTATTTCATAGTTTGATCCTTACTCCTTCTTGTTGTTTCTCATCTTGTTGTTGTTGGTGCAAGTTTTTGTTGTGTTGATTGAATACTGAAAGCTAGACATGTTTTTATTTGGACTCGCTTAAAAGCTTTTGCGCTTTTGCTGGCTTTGAGTTTGACGAAAGCTTTGAAAGTGTTGAGCTTTCAGTATTTGACTAATGTAAGCTTAAATATTCTAACAAAAGCTTATGACTTGAAGATCTTACGGCAAAAGCTTTTTACTCGACGCTTTAAGCTCGTGGTCTTTCTGAATTGGAGGATCTGAAGGAAAAGCTTCGAAATCACCAAAGGCGACGCTTTAAACAAATAACAATTTACTTCTATTAACAATTTTCTTGCTTACATCTTTAATATAGAGGATCTGTGTGATCGGAAAAGCTTCACAAAGCTGAACACATTTTTCGCTTATCCGTATTAAAAATATTTCCTAATGATCTATTGTAACATTGCTGTTTCTATTTAATTTAATTTAAATATCCTCAAATACTAAAATTAAATTTTCCTTTACAGGCAACTTTGGTAGTGGTGGCACCGCGGGAACCACTCGGGCAGAGCCCATTTCCCTGGCTACCTTGGATCGCGATTGTTTCATCATTCCGGTGCACAGCGTAGATCGCTTTCTGCCAGCTGGCATACCAGTAAGAAAAATTCTGTTATCTATTGAAAGATCTCTTAGAACTTTATGTTCTCTCTCTCTCTCTCTATAATTTTCTTCATTTAGCTACCCGCTCTGAGTGCCGATGGCAAGGCGTGCAGTCCGTTGAGCGTTTTGGAGGTCTCTGATCCCAAGTTGTGCATTCTTGTCCACCTCATGAGTCCACTGGAAGCCATAGATCCTGTGATGGAATCACCGCTCTCCCATCCGCTGCTGAAGCAACGCGCCATTGCCTCAGAGCTCTTAACAGAGGTACAGCAGGCGAATACAGCTGTCGGTGGCATGATACTAGTCAACATGGAGAAGAGCTGTAAGTTGATGGGGACATAAAAAGTAATGATCCAGCCTTTTCTAAACTAATTTTCTTTTCATTACAGCCGAATTTCCTTTTATATCATATTACTTGATAAACACGATGCAAACGGATCCATCGAATTTCTATGCCAACCTGCGCGTCTCTTCGCTATCTAAATTCGAGCCGAAAGCACTCAAGTAAGCCAATCAACAATAATCATGCGCATTAATAATGTAATTCTTGCTTCCTATACCCTGTAATAAAAAATCTGAAAGTTGGGTAATGCCTAGTGCTGAGCACACTTATTTATTATTATTATTATTGCAAAGTATTCATCTTAATCATATGTCAGGATACAGGATATACTTTGCAAGCAAAATCATATTTGAATATATTTTAAGTTCCAGGATATTTCGTATTACATCAGCTCACACGTTTGGCTATTCAATTAAATTGTTAACCCACTTCTCCTCCCACACAGATACACTGCCGCGCACACGCTGGACCTGTACAGCGAGGTGGCTGCCATTTGCCGACCGCCTTTGGTTCTGCCCTCCAACGAGGCGGGCAGCTTTAAGAAGTCCCAGACAGCGGCCACTGGCTACATAATCAGCGTATTCAAGGCAAGTCCAAGTCATATATATATATATAGATATATATGTGTGTGCAATGTATGTCAATATAAAATGCAAAATTTAATTTTAGGTTTTCGAGGGCGACGATGGCGAGCGCTTCGAAAAGAATTGGTTGTACTGGACAGGTGCGCGAATGTTGTACAGGTGAGTAGAGCTAAGGGCTCTATATACATATGTATTAATGTATATCTATCCATGTGTATATTTATTTAGATATAAATGTATCTGTATCTGTATCTGTATCTGTATCTGTATCTGTATCTGTATCTGT